CCAATATTGACTATAAGCAAGTACGAGAACGGGGTTGCTCAGGTAGCGGTTGTGCCGCTCTGGGGGGGGCAGACGGGCTCACTACTCATCATCATCACCATCACCGCACCTCTCCTTTCTTCACCATTTTGACGACTTCGTGAACTCATCCTTGTGAAGTCTGTTGGTTCCTGTTGTAATGTGTATATTGTGAGCCGCGCGTGTGTGTGCGCGTGTGCTCACCTACTTGTACTCACCTGTGTGTACTCGCCGAGTTGTGCTTGCGAGGATTGAGCTCTGGCTCTTTGGTCCCGCCTCTCAACTGTCAATCAACTGGTGTACAGGTTCCTGAGCCTATTGGGCTCTATCATATCTACACTTGAAGCTGTGTATGGAGTCAGCCTCCACCACATCACTGCCTAATGCATTCCATTTGTCTACTACTCTGAACTACTCTACTTCCTGAACTACTGTACTACTACTACTCTGTGTGTGTGTGAGATTACCTAAGTGTAGTTACAGGATGAGAGCTACGCTCGTGGTGTCCCGTCTTCCCAGTACTCTTTGTCATAATACGCTTTGAAACTACTGACGGTCTTGGCCTCCACCACCACCTCTGTAAAAGAAAACTTTCTAATATTTTTTTGGCACTTCTGTTTTCTTAGTTTGAATGTTTATTCACCTAGTTGTATTCACCTAGTTGTGTTTGCGGGGGTTGAACTTTGCTCTATCGTCGTCTTGTTCGTGAAGTTGCTGGTTTCAGGAATTCCTCTGTCTATTTGGCCTCTTCTTGTTAGTATTTTGTAAGTGGTGATCATATCACCTCTTTTTCTTCTATTTTTCTAGTTCTGGCATGTTTAATGCCTCTTGTTTATCCTTGTATCTCTTGTTTTTCAGTTCCGGAAGCCATCTTGTAGCATGCCTCTGCACCTTTTCCAGTTTCTTGATGTGCTGCATGAGATTTGGGCACCATACAGCTGCTGCATATTCCAGTTTTGGTCTCACGAAGGTTATGACCAGTTTCTTTAATGTTTCACCATCCATATGATTAAAAACAAGTTGGAAAGCGACGCACATGCTCCTCTCACAATGTTCTTTATGTGTTCCTCTGGCGACAGTTTACTATCCTAAACTACCCCCCCCCCACCCACCCCCACCCCAGGGTCTCATTCCTTATTGGAGTTCTGTAATTCCTTTCCACATAATTTGTAAGTTGTGTGGGGTCCATTTTCTCCGATTCCACACACACTGATGGCCAAGATTATGAGAAATATTGAGAGAGAAAATAAACCATCTCACATCCTCATAGTTATCTTCCCTATCGCTCGCTAATATTTATAATGTAAAAAAAATACACTAAAACAATTAAAAGGTGCTAATGTAAAATTAATTCTTATTTAAGTGTATTTATACTGACAAGAATCGCACATCAGCTGACGCCTAGTTGAAATCTTTCCTTGACGATGTTCGTTTTCTGTGTCATTTGTCTGGGTTCGTTTTCTGTGTTTTATTTTATGGGTTACTTAGGATTATCATGCACTTGTAATTTACCTGAATTTACCTGATAGCCACTATTATTAGTGACCTCGACGAGGACAAGAAGCCCGCGGCTTCTCAAAGATCCCTCCATTTGCCCTGATGAGCTTTTCCAATTGGATTTTTAACATTTAACAGAGTTTTGGCATTTACGGCTTCGGCAGGTAGGCGGTTCCATGGAACACAATCCTGTGGGTGAAAAAGGATCTCTTGTTCTCTGTCCTACATTGTGGCTTGTTGAGCTTGAAACCGTTGCTCCTTGTTTGTGTTAAGGAGAGTAACATATTCTGGTTAACTCGCCTACCTATACAAATAAACCCACTGTTTCTTTGGCTGAGCATCATATCTGATGCTCAGCCAAAGTCCTTAATTCCAAATCACTACACACTCCATACCTGGTGAGTCTCACATACAGTACTCACTGTAGACTCGACTCGGTTACCTGAATACAAATTTGAATTCGAATTTCGAAATTCGAAATTTGTTAACAAGATCACATCGCGTCCCGTCATACGGTCGGTTTCACCTCGTTGCTGCCACAGACGGAGATAGAGGATTAACGTACTTGCTCGCACCGCAGCTACCACAAGACTGCCCTACAGCCGGTCATAGTCTCCACCACCACCAGAGCCAGCATCCCACTGAGGGTATATTCAGATTAACTGTTAATCAGCTTGTTTCCAAGAACTTTGGGTCACCCTTTGTGACCTCTTGGCTGGTACATTCGTTTGGCTGGCCTAACAGCTGTCTTAATCTCTTTGACCTTCGATGTGTGACAACAATCTGAATACTAATATGTACTTTCAACACTCATTTGTTAAGTGCTTGATTCACTAGATAATATTCACGCCTAACTTGTGTATTACAACAAACCCAGGGGATTTTCAGATGCCCTCCCAGGGGATTTTGAAAGGCCCTCCCAGGTGATTTTGAAAGGCTCTCCCAGGTGATTTTGAAAGGCTCTCCCAGGGGATTTTGAAAGGCCCTCCCAGGGGATTTTGAAAGGCCCTCCCAGGGGATTTTGAAAGGCCCTCCCAGGGGATTTTGAAAGGCTCTTCCAGGGGATTTTGAAAAGCTCTTCCAGGGGATTTTGAAAGGCTCTTCCAGGAGATTTTGAAAGGCCCTCCCAGGGGATTTTCAAACTTTATTCCTTTATTTTGTCAAGTTTTTCATAGTTTCACACGTTATGGGAGTATCTGTTAATTCATTATCTTTGCCAGCTTTAAAAACTTACTTGGGATGTTTCTATTCCTTCTAGTGTGAACACTGATGTGCAGTATTCGTTCAGTGTTGGCTGCCTTTTTTTATCATCAGTTATAACTTGGTCTCATATTTTAAGGGTCCTACCGAGCCTTTTGTCTGTACTTCTTATATAGGCATAAAGACTTTTTCTCAAAACATTGCAACTCGTCCTCAGACCAAGTTCATTCCATCCAGTAGTCGACCCCAAAGATGCATTCATCAATTTTAACATGCTATTCATTCAAAATATAAATTTTCTCAAATAGAAATTAATATTGTTATATATTAGCATACTGTGTATATTTAGGCATTGGTTAGGTTCTGTTAGAGATTGTTTTTGTAGTACTGTACATGGGTGAACCATTTACTGGGTTGTAGTTCGAACCAAAGTCGTCAGTGAAGCACTAGTTTGAGAAGTGTTTGAACGTCATGAGTTGCGAGTTGTATGTAAACCGTGTTTCATTCATAAACAGAGGGTTGGTGGGTGCATGATATGGACTTTGGACTGTTTATGATGATGGGCTAAAAATTAAAAAGGATCAAGTTTTCTTTCTTGTTTTTTTTTTTGCTAATCTGATTTTCTAGGTTACTAGCATACTGATACTTCTTCCATAATCTTCTTCCCAGACACTTCTGGGGGTTCCAGTAGTACAATCGGGTTCATTCTTGACTCACAGTCGAGAATTCCGGGTTCGTAACTCGGGCGGGACAGAAATGGTTGGGCGCATTTCCTATCACCTAATGTACCTGTTCACCCAGTAGTAAATATGTACTTAAGAGTTACTCGGCTTCTTTTTGTTGTGGGGTTGCATCCTGGGTAGGTCAGTAATTTGACCTTGGGGGTGGGAGGCCTCGATATACAGTATGACTAACATGTATGAATACACTTTGGCTGCCTGTTCCCCGACACAATGAATTATTAATTATAATAAATATCTTGATTCGCACTTTCATGTAGTGTGGAGGCATTTGCCAGAGAGAAATATTGGAAAGGAATATACAGTGGCACCTTCATTTACGAATTTAATTCGTTCCAAGAGATGGTTCGTACACCAAAAAATTTGAAAATCGAAACAAATTTAGTAAACTGAATTAATCTGTTCCACACACCCAAAAAGATAAAAACTAAACACTACCTAATAAATTCCCTGTAACCTACCTCACTCCTCTATTGTCAACCCATGTCTGTTATTTTCTTTTTTTAATCAACACTGTCAACCTATTGTAATTGTGCTGCTTTTTCAGTCATGTTCCCCCTTTTTTTTATCTTTATTTGTATTTGTTCTCAACACTTTTTATTCTTTATGCTCAATTAGTATTAAGTTCTAGATATTAATGTTTTTCTTGCCCGAAACGCATCGCGTAATAGTGGCTTTAGGCATTGTATGTACTAGCTCTATCTATATATCAATCCATTAATGTAACATCACTTGTATGTATATACCTTACCTGAATAAACATATTTATTTATTTATTTTATTTATTTATTTATTAACTTAAAAATACAATGTATACAGAATACTACTCATAGGTACCTTACCTTTATATAGGACTCTTGTTGGCGTATGGAAGATGGTGACAAGGAGAGGAGGAAGAGAGGTGTTAGTGTTTGGAAGGGAAGTCCCCTTCCATTATAACATCAGGCAGTGATGACATTTCTGGGGTGCTCTCTCTCCTACATTATGTAGGCATACCACTAAGACCTAGTTGTGGCTCACTACTTGCTTGTCTTACTAAGAATCTGTCTATAGACACTTATTTTTTCCCAAGTTTCAATATTTGTCTGTAGTGAGACGTCACATTCACTATGAATGATCTCTTGTTTTTGTTTCTCTATCGTCATCCTCGCAACTATTTTCTTAGGTTGAACTTTACCACTGACTTTCCTGGGACCCATGACATGATATATAATAAGAATTTTTATGTTCAGAAACCGAAAAAGCAGAAAAACAATTAAATTCGTCACAAAGAATTCCAGTGCGGTAAACTGAGCGCGCCTCACCTTGTGCCTAGCAGAACTATGCGCTCGTCAGCCCATACATGTACAGGGTATCAACAAACTAGACAACCGATGCAAACCTCGAGTATGAGGTTGGAACTCCTTCAAATTCCTCTGTGCAAATTTTACGAGGAAATTGATCTTGTATACCAAAAAATTCATAAAGAGGGGCATTCGTCAACTGAGGTTCCACTGTATCAGTAATTGCAGTAAACAAAGGTGTGTATAATAAAAATATACACAATTTATTAAATACGAGTTTATTTTAAATGCTATCATTGTCAGTAAAACAGTACATGTACCTACAGAAAATTAAAATACAGTAATCCATTAAAACACCTCAGACAGCTAGGAAATATCTTGAGACAAAGGTATGTAGTCTCATACGGAAAAATTATAGCAGCCAACTCAGTTGATGTAAACAGCATATAGCTATTACAAAGCAAACTATATACTAATGAGCTTTACCAAGGATGCCATCTGAGGTTTACAACAGGTAGGAATCACTTTTATGGAGTCGGAACATGAAGGTCAGAGTTGCATGTTTCACGACACCGAGGAATAGTTCGAGATCACAATGGAGGGTATGGAGCAATGGAGATAATACAGAGGGAAAAGAAGAACTAATCTTCTTTAATGACAACAAAAACTCATAGAAAAGTACAAAAGCAAAATACAGTATTTACATTCTGCAACCATACATCAGACATTAGCACATCAATATGTATTACAAAGAGTACAAAACAATGAGCACTTGTGAGTAATGTGTACTGAGAGTAACATCATAAATGCAAACCAAATGCGAGACAAATCCCATTAATATTAAGACAAATAGTGAGCATCAGTACACATGGCATAATATCACAGACTAGTAGGAAATAAATGCACTATAATCCAAGAATTAGTAGGTTAGGATTAAAGTTTGTAAGTTGCAACCCAGCTACTACAGGAACACCCCCTCAACATCGAGGATGGCATCCCCTGGCGGCATTGTATACAATACCTGTATAGGAAATGCAACAAAATCTACAATGGATTTAGTATTGCAATATTTCTGTGACTTAAGATTTATATCTGTTTATTGTAGTTGTTTGTACCAGGTTATTCTCTTGTTATAAGATTGCATCTTGCTACACTGCATCCAGGCAGTGTGTATATGCACTAACATCCTTCCTCATTATTCAAACACCTCCCAAAAGTCCATTCGGCAATTACACACAGAAATCACACTAACGTGGTGCATCAAGTGAACAAATCCACAAGGGCCGTGACGAGGATTCGAACCTGCGTCCGGGAGCATCCCAGACACTGTCGATTAAGGCAGTGTCTGGGATGCTCCCGGACACAGGTTCGAATCCTCGTCACGGCCCTTGTGGATTTGTCCATTCGGCAATTTTGTCTTAATTATAGTCCTGTGGTTTTAGAATTCTGGGACACCTTGTACCATAGTTTACATACAGAACATGCATATCTTAATGAATGTTTACTGTATAGTACATAAATGTGTAAGTGGTAATGAAGCTTCAACATAATATACATTTCTTCATCAAGCACAAAACACCATCTAATTAACATCAGATCTGATCAGACATCGAGGAATTTGATTTCCAGGTTTTGGACAGTTGTGGAGATGATGGGGGTGGGCCAGAGCTGTAGTCACCTGTGTGAGAGCTGGCAGATAGGGAAGGGTCAGAGTTGAAACCATCTCTTTACGAGTAGGCAGAGGTGGAAGAAGGTCCACGTTGCAGGCTTGTATTTTTTGTCCGAGTTACACCACTGAAGGTGATTTCCGTTTTGTTTTAGTTCTGAAAGTTCAAGAAAAATATAAAGTTCATGGTTTTTGTTAAAAAAAATATTAATACAAAAAAGTATTAACATGAATCAAGCTTTTGGGTTTGAAAAATAAGAATGATTGGAAAAGAAAATTTAAAATACAGTATACATCTCACTGCTTTTTTACAGAGAAAATTATATCAAACTGAATAATGAACAATAACATACATTATGTAGAGATAAGAAAATATTAATTTATTTATTAGGGCAACTGGGGGGGACCTTTGACAAGCCACCGGTATTCTGTCCCTGTCCTCGTCGAGGCCACTAATGTTAGGTAAATAATCCCTTCTCTTCATTTTGGCCAAGATCAAAGTGTAATAAATAATATAAATCATACTGGACATATACAAGCTGCTGTCTCCTACACCACTGCTGTTGGCTTTATCAGCCAGCTGAACCTTCTTCTTGAGATGATTTTGGGGCTTTAGTGTCCCTGCGGCCCAGTCCTCGACCAGGCCTCCACCCCCAGGAAGCAGCCCGTGACAGCTGACTAACACCCAGGTACCTATTTTACTGCTAGGTAACAGGGGCATAGGGTGAAAGAAACTCTGCCCATTGTTTCTCGCTGGCACCGGGGATCGAACCCAGGACCACAGGATCACAAGTCCAGCGTGCTGTCCGCTCGGCCGACCGGCTCCCTAACTAACCTGTCTGAACATATAAAATAGTACTAACAAGTTTATATTAATAGGCTAAAGCCTAAAAGGTTTGATCAGAGTAAGTAATTTGTAATCCCTTCTAATAGATACTAGTACAGTACTTAAAGAAGTGACCACCCAACGGTGACTTGCGAACTTTATCTCAAAACTTGCAATAATGAACATGGTGGCAATGTGGGTGCTTATAAATATATTAATAAATCTGAACATTAAACTAAATAACTCTTGTCTTGACTAAGTCTCAAAGTACCCTTCTCAAATTGGGAAGTTGCACCCCCACCTGGATCTCGCTGCCAATGCCTGATATGAGGGATGTTTTTTAGCAAATGTTCGTAAACTGTGCTACACAATCAGGGATGTTTTAAAGTACCGCATAAGATTTTAAACTCCTACAGGTACTCAGGGGTCATATGTGCTGCCTCAGGCCTGCAGTAAACAGACACCGTCTTGGAAAAATATTGTGGGCACGTATCACCCAGGTGTGTGTGAGGGGCTTCAGTACTCAGATGGCAAACATGCAGCAGCAACTCTAAACACTGCAATGCAGCACGTGCCCAAAGCATCACTTTATTAATGAATAATGTTGATTGGGATACAGGTACATCCTAATATATAAAGCCCATTCTTATGTTTTGACATCTAAAAGAATTTTCTTGCTTAACCAGAAACATTCAAGCCTAAGCAACCCACATACCCTATCAAGGCTGAAGCTCAGAAAATATAAATATCACAGTGCTTTAAGTTTTACCAAAACCTTACAATTATATGACACCCACACTAATTATATGATGACAAGCATACCACTTACATAACAACCCTGGACTGAGAAGTGATCTTCTTCACAACTGTAGAGGGTCGTCCTTGGCTATCCTTTGTCCGTTCCACTACCACTCGATGCCCAGTTCGCCCTTGCACCTCCCGCTTGGCATTGAAGTCCTCGCCTGATGAAAGGGCATAAAGGATTTAATTTCTAAATCCTCCAATTAAATTTGAGTGTATTATATTCAATATTTTACCATTTTGTGTATGCAGGAGAAGTTTTATGCCCCATTCAATGGATGCTTGTGAAGGAAATTATATTTACATACAGCACCACAAAATAATATATTATGTGAGAGTTGAGTCTTATTACTGTACAAGGGAATGGTAAGAGCTAGGGAAATGGGATCTTTTCTATTCCATAGGGGAAAGAAAGAGGAAAATCTCACCTCCAATGACTTCAAGAGAGTTGGTGGTCTTATTGTTGACACCCTCAGTGGTGTACGTAGTCTTGCCATCCTTGTCAGACACGGACTGTGTCATGTACCGCTCCCCATCTGTAGATGTCTTCATCCTGCGTGAGAGTCCATTGTCTAAAACTGACACAACAGCCCCTGACCCAGGGCCATTCTGCTGCTTCACCTGCCTCTCGCCCTTCTTTTCTTGTCGACGCCCACCACGGCTTGCACCTATTTCGTCCTTGGTTGCACCTGTAATCAGAATATATTAATATGAAACTTTTAGCCTCCACCTCACTTGTCTATAAAAGTATGTGGTAAAATCACTGTATGAGATTATACTTGGAAAGGCAAGCATACTTATAAATAACAATCTAAATATTAAAAACATAAGTGAAAATTTAACAAACAAATAAAAAGAACTACAAGTCTTACAACCCATTTTAAAATAAATCACTATCTGTTGAAGACATCTGTAAGACATCTGCTTCACTATCTGTTGAAGACATTTGTTGTGTCAAATTAAGCCGCAGGCTCCACTCCTGGTGGTGCCCTTCCGTCAATTCCTTTAAGTTTCAGCTTTGCAACCATACTTCCCCCTTCCCCCTGAAGACTTCCCTTATATTTTGAAGTGTTCCAGGCACAGGTACAAGATCCCCAACACCACCACCACCACTCCCTCACAGTCCTACATCATCTCCACCACCAACACCCACCTGTAGATGAAGTTTCTTTCGTCTGTGTGAGGAGTTCACCCCCACCAGACATTCTGCGGGACCCTCTTCTCACCACTCGCCTCGTGACACTCTTGCTGCTGCGTTGTCCTCCCTTCACCTCTTCTTCCGTCTCGTGGCTAAACTTCTGCCCTTCCTGTAATTCACATTAAAAAATTTATAAATTTTAGAAAACTCACACATTGTCAAATACTGTAGTAATAAAATATACATCTCTTGAGGGAGTATTTGCATAGCTTCAAATAATATTTAAACATAAAATATTGCAATAAATGCAATTTTTTGTTTTAATTCTTTTTGTTTAAATTATGAGAGTTGTTAAATTGATTTATTACCAACACTTGGACAAAACAGATTCACCTTTAAGGAACTCGTGCAAATTCTTATTCCATCATTCTATATATTTCAAACTCGCTGTTTCTTGGTCAGTAAGCAGAAATCGCCTAAAAGTATTTTTAAGGCTAAAACTGCAGTCCATGTGTCCATCAAAGTGATATGCAACACCCATATTTACTATACCTTTTTCATAAGCTTTCCTTGAACTGTGGTGCCTGCTGCCCAGTCTTCTAGTGCCTTGGACGCATTAGCCTTGAATGTTTTCTCCTTCCTTGTTTTGCCACTGTTAGTTCGAACTATCTGCCGTGCCTGTAGGTCCAGAATAATATAATACATCTGTAAATTCCTCACTATTAAATTAATAATTGTCATGATGCACCAAAAGTTGTTTTAAGATAGTGTAATTTTATCAATACTGTAACCGTCTTTCATTTCTTGATACAAGCCTAATATTTTTGTTTATATTTTTCTGCCTTTTCATTTTCTCTGAGGGATTTCAGCGCAGAATAAAAATATAATTTAACAAATTATAATAGATGTCATTACTTCATAACCATAGACTCACCTTCTCTGTAGACCCCAGCCTGGCTCTTCTGACTGTGGTCTTTGTCTTGGTCCAGCCTGCATCATTCTGCACTATGGTTTCATCTTTTAGGTCTGCCGAGTCATCTCTAGACACCTTTCTGTCTTTTTTGTTTCTTAAAGACCCTCCTGGATCTTCAGGACGATTCCTTTTAAGACTAGAGTTCCTATGGACAATACGGTTCTTTGACTTACTGGGGTTTGTAGAAGTCTTTGGCAGGCCCTTTGGCGCAGATAAGTTTGATGATGCTTCCCTTGATTTTCTTCTTTCTGGTAACTTTTCCTTCTTATTTTTTATGCTTTTTCCACCTTTGATTTCTCGAATTGGTGAGGATTCTTTAGACTCTGGCTCTAAACTGGTTTCTCTGGTTTTGTCTCCCCTATCTGTAGTGGAGTCATTGTCAAACACATCATCACTGTCGTAATGAGAGATTAGTGCTAATTTGTTGCCCGAGGTGTCAATGACAGTAGTCTCTGATGATGATCGTTGGACTGCCATGTCTTTACAATATTTGTGAGTTATATTATTTAATTCTTCAGAAAAAGAGAGCTCTGGTGAGAACTGAAAATTATTGGACAGTTCCTCAACTATGGAGTCTTTAGAGCCCCTGTCTTTGGACAAGATGCTAGATAAAGAAACTGGTCTAGAGTCCCTGTCTGGTGTTGATCTCTCTGATGGTTCCCTTGACCTCAGTGATGATGTTTCTCTGGAATTCCTTGACAAGTAAGGTTCATACATTTGAGAGGATACTCTTCTTCCCTCACTTGTACCTAGAGAACTGCTCATCACTGTAGCAACTTTGGGTGACAACTCAGGAAGTCTAACTGTTAAAGAAGGTCTCTCATGAGAGATTCGTGATGTGGAAGGCTCTGTATTTTCACTACATTCTGATTTATCTAAAGTGGGTTTACTTTTGTCTGGGAGGTATCTTTTGTTGCTGTTGTCATGCAGGGAGGAGATTTTGCATGTCATCAGGTACGTGGTTTGAAGACTGTCGTCCCTATGTGAAGGTGATGGTATACTTGTGGCAACCCTCTTTGGATCAATACCAGAAGTCATTGTTTTCAGGGTCACAGAAGGTTTGATTAAATTAAAGGGTTTGTGTACTGATGTATGCCATGAGTTCTTCGTTTCCTTCCGAGGATTCATTTCTTCATCATTGAATCCTTTACTTCTCTCTCCACTTCTGTTTTTAAATGTTAGTGAGGATCTGTAAGGAGAGGTTAAAGGAGTACTTGAGCAATCCTCCTCCTCCTTCTCCTCATAATCCTGTTCTTTATATTCTTTAATCCTCTTTGTACTGGGGGAAGGTGCAATGTTTTCTTTTTGCTCTTCACCAGGCAGAGATGCAGTTTGTACATCCCTGCAGCTGGGCTCAAGAATCACATCAAGCTTTGATGGTAACTCAAGAGAATCTCTCTTGATGACCCTCTCTGGAGATGCCCTCGGAGATGCCAATGGAGTGGAAGTCACTGATGATGACCTTGATGAACCGTCGCCCAAAATGGAGGAAAGACTGACTGGTCCTCGCCTACCATTAATTGCATATGATTGATCAGATTGGAGGGCTTCTCTGACTGAAGACCTCATTGATGTTGGAGTAGATGGATAAGATGCATTTGACTTGGAGGAACAGGTCATGTTAAAGTTGTCAGGTGCCTTTGTAAAAGTTTGGGAGAAGAGCTTGGATGATATAGCTAATTTTATTGGTGTTACTGATATGCTAGATGATGAAAGCAAAGGGGAGGGAGTGTTGGAGCAAGGTGGATATTTTGGAGTTGAGTAAAGCATGGTTTTCGAATTTTTTCTGGCAGGGGGAACAGGACTCTTAAGGTCTTGCAACTTTCCACCTCGATCGTCTTCAGGATATACACTATCATAACATATATTTGTACTTGTACATAATTTTGACGGGTTTAAAAGAGGTGTTGGTATTTCAGATGGATCCCTTATGTCTTGGGCCAGAGTGTGGTCTGAAGTTATTGAATTGAGCATTTTATTCAGCCATTCCTTTCTATTTTTGGGGTCCTTGATGCTAGACCTGCCTTCATTTACACACTTCTCATAACAAGAGGGCATTTGAGAAATATTCTTTTCATTATCTTCCTCATGAATGGCCGATTCTCTTTTCATCTCTAAGTATGGCGATGGATATGCTTGAGACTTTTCATGGAGATTTAATGGTTTGGGTGGAATTGGAGGTGATACCTTTTTAGAAGATTTGGATGAATCATTTGTATCTCGTGACCGCTGTTTAATGTCAGAGGCACGAGACTCTGCTGAATAAGTATCGCCATACTTCAACTGTGTATCTTTTTCTTTATTATCTGATTTATCTGGAGATGAGGGCATATGTGAGGCCTTTCTCCTTGATGGGGAGCTGGACAGCCGAAGCTTCTGAGGGCTGGAGGAGGCAGAGGTGGATGTTGCCCTATTTGTTGCCGATGTCTTCCAGTTGCTTTCCGTGAGGATCCTAGGAGATGTATGCTCCTTAACCTCTGATGAGGAGCGAGACTTTGAGTTGTCTCTCCTTGAGGCAGAACTGACTCTGTGGGTTGGAGAATGAGATTTTGATGAATCTCGACGACTCGTACGTTGAGACTCTTCATAGGAACTTGTGCTTTTGGTAGGAGAGAGCAGCTTTTTAACAATGTACGGTGACTTCATGGGGACAGCAATATCCTTGATTGACTCATTTTCTTGCTCCAAATGCAGATTTTCTGAGGGGACTTTTCTGAAAACAATGTCATCTTTGCCATCAACTGTACCATTGATATCTGTTTTTTTATCCTTACTAAACATAGACATAAAGCTTCCATGCATTTTGACAAGTTCCTTGATTTTCACCGAAACAGGCTTCATGGATAAATTCTTATTGATGCGATTTTTCTCCTCATCTTCCAGTCTTTGTCTTTGTAAGGCTTCCCATTCTAGCAAACTGCTTCTTCTTTTCTCTTCTTTCTTTTTTAATGATTTACGTTGATCTTCGTCATTCACAACCTCCACTGTCACTTGATGAGCTCTGTGCTTGGAGGTGCCCTCAGCACTCTTGTCTTCACATTTTCTTCTCTCCCCCTCACTGGCCAAGCTCTGAGTAACCAGCTTCATTCGTAAGGGTCTAATTGGATAATCATTAATTTTGGAAGTTTGTTCATTTGATCTATCATTCTGAATATTAATTTTATTTGACTTGGATTTATTTAACTGCACACGAGACACCATCGGTGTAATAGCATGGCCGTTAAGACTCGCTCTCTCACATGGAGCATTATGCTTGTGAATGTCATTTGGGTTTGTTATGATGGTAAAAGTTGTCATCCCCTCTGTTCTCCTTGTGTTCTCTGCCTCCTTCTGTGTCTTCTGGCGAATTAGTGAGTCCTCTTCAAGCTCTGTGAAGCTGGTCTCTGGTCGGGTCTTCTGGTCTGCACTGAAGGTGAAGCTGAAGACCTTGGCTGGTGAATTCCGGGTTCCCTCCTTCTTGGTGTGCGAGGGGAAGGGGACATGGCTCCCCTGATGTACGTTGAATGGGGCATGGATTTCTTGTTGATGCGAGGAGAAAGTGGTGTGGCTTTCTTGCTGATGCGAGGAGAAAGTGGTGTGGCTTTCTTGCTGATGAGAGGAGAATGTGGCATTGTTTTCTTGCTGGTGCGGGGTGAGTGCATTATAGTTTTCCTGCTGATGCGAGGGGAATTGGGTGAGGCTGTCCTGGAAATGCGAGGGGAGTAAACTTCGGCCCTCCTGATGGTGGGAGATGAGGGTGGTGTTTCCGCTTCTGGAGACATCTTCAACATCTCTGTTTTGGGAGGACGTGGAGGAGGAAGAGTCGTTCCTCCTGATGTCTTGCTGAGCCGAGGGGGAAGTGGTGGAGGAGGCTGGTGCTGGTGGTGGTGATGGTGGTGCTGCTGTAGTAGTGATGAGGGTGGGGCTGTTGGGGTGCTGCTGCTTCTCTTCTGGAAATCCAAAACCATATTGTAAATGAATATATTTTTTAAAATTAATTCACTATATGCTCTCTTCAACATGATAATGAAAAAATATTAACCAATGTTGAATAGTATTCAATCTTTTCATTAGTGATTGACTGCAGGTCAATAATACTGAAGATATGTATACCCTAGTTTTACTGAAATATTAACTAAATTTCTGAAATTTGTTAATTATATTTCATACTTAATTTTTTTAAATAAAGGAGGTTTTTTATTTCTTCCCTTCTGAATTTTAAAAACAAACACCTTGTACTTACAGACTATATATCTGAAATAGCTATGTATTATTATTATTAGTATTGATGTTATTATTTTAATTATTATTATTACCAGTAGTGTATTGTCAGTATTGAAACAGCCAACAACAGAGCCAATGACATTAATGAATGCAGTTCTTCCTGTGCTATTCAAAATATAAAGGCAAATTCTGTGTAGTCAAAATGAGAAGATATAAAATGATGCAAAATATTGTACATTATAAAGTTTAGTTTAGTTAAACATTTTGTTATGAATAGTTTCAAAATACTTCAAATAATTTGTTATGCATTGACTTATTAGGCTTATATTATTAGCAAGAGAAAAGACATTCTTATTTCAATTACCATTAAAGATAATTTAAAATTTCCACCACTGTACCTTGCTCACCTGTGAAGGTGAGTGTACCACCACTGTACCTTGCTCACCTGTGAAGGTGAGTGTACCACCACTGTACCTTGCTCACCTGTGAAGGTGAGTGTACCTCCACTGTACCTTGCTTACCTGTGATGGTGAGTGTACCACCACTGTACCTTGCTCACCTGTGATAGTGAGTGTACCTCCACTGTACCTTGCTTACCTGTGAAGGTGAGTGTACCACCACTGTACCTTGCTCACCTGTGATAGTGAGTGTACCTCCACTGTACCTTGCTTACCTGTGAAGGTGAGTGTACCACCACTGTACCTTGCTCACCTGTGATAGTGAGTGTACCTCCACTGTACCTTGCTCACCTGTGATGATTGTACCACTACTGTACCTTGCTCACCTGTGATGGTGAGTGTACCACCACTATACCTTGCTTACCTATGAAGGCGAGTGCACCCACTATTGTACCTTGATTGCCTGTGATGACTGTACCACTACTGTACCATGCTTACCTATGATGGCGATGTACCATTACAGTACCTTGCTTTCCTGTAATGATTGTACCACCACTACTGTTAAATGCTTACCTATGATAGTGAGTGTACCATTATACGTTGCTCACCTGTGCTGATGAGTGGACCTCCAATGGTACCTTGTTCACCTGTGAAGGTGAGTGTACCTTTGCTGTATCTTAATTACACAGCTATGGTTATAGATGACTAGCTATGCTTCGATAAGTAATTGCATGATCAATTACTTATGATCAACTGTACCACTGGTGTTTCTACCTGGTGGCACCGTTGTACCTCACGTACCTGTGAGAGTGAGTGACTGTACCACTACAGGGGAGAGTAGATAAGAAGCATGGTAAGCTGGGTGTGTTGCGAGTGTGGGGTATTGTGTTGTACCACGGTGGGTGTTGAGGGGGTTGGTGAGAGTGGACTCCAGTGTAACAATGTCTTCATCCTGTGTCGTATCTTCTTCTTCATCCTCACTTCTTCCTTTCTCGGTTCCTTCCTTCACTAGTTCTTCACTTTTTCTTGGTAATTCCTGCGATTTTTTGCCAGAGTTGAACTTCTGCGACTCCTCATCTGAGTGGGGTTCATGCCATCGTCCATTGGTGCTCTCATTACCACCAGAAAGGTTGGCATGATTAATGACACTCCGGTTGTTAGGGAGGATGATGGATGTTATTTGGTCCTGGGGATGATGGATGTTCCGGAGGGAGCATACGGCAAGCGAGTCGCAGAGATGGTGTGGTGGGTGGTGGTTGAGGGTCACTGCTGTGCTACAAGTGTGTTGTGGGGATGCTGAGCTCCTGGTCTTGGAGAAAGTGTTGTCACCCACTTCAACACCCGTGGCAGCAGCAACAGTAGCAGTGGGAGCAGCAACAGTGCCAGTAACAACAAGAGGAAGAGAGTCATCGAGCAGGATAGTGTCATCTGATGGCTCTGTAAGTAACATCACATTTGATAACTTTTAGTTTTTCCTACCAGATGTCACATTTCTCTTCATTATATACTAAGCATGCAATGACGTTTGTATGTGTTGAAGAACACAAGCACACGCACATTCACACACACACACATGCAGGAGTTGACTCCTCATCAGAGGTCTCCCAGCATAATGTTGGCACCCTTGTGTACACTTAATAGTTCCCGGTTGTCCTGCTGCATTGTTCATCTATTATGTTTCCATGCACACAAGACACGAGGCTTCTCAGCACTTTGGTGTAGGTCTCAGCTCCTCATCAACGGTACACCAATGTCTCTCTGTACCAGGGTGAGAGCTGCACTACACTACTAAACTACACCTTCCACTCTGTGGAACGTCAACTGTTTGCTAAATCACTTAGATTACACCTAGTATATATACACTTTTTGTCTTCATATATGCAAATATGAAATTTCTAAAGGCACTGTCATATCACAAATTATTCAAGCATAATACTCCTCTTATTTTGCCATTCTTTTGATCAAAGTTGACGGTTTGGCAAGAAACAAGCCGGCTTGTGGACAAGAGAGCAATGCTTCACACCACAGGTCACTTCAACACTCGCTATATGGGTATATTGTCCGGGCTCTCATAATTACAACTCTAGAGAGTCTCTGCGCATATCAACATCTCTTAAGAGTTCGATAGTTGTCCTTCTCAGTATCACTTAGAGCTTATATGCTAACAGAGAAGCCAGAGTTCTGCTTATTAAAGTCTGCCGTAGTGTTGTGACTCTGCTGACAGTATTGTGACACCGGCAGTGTGGATCATTTACCCCAGAAGAAGGGTAATGTTATAAGGGAAAGCTTAAGGAGGAATAGGTCATTTTAACCTTCCCTTATCCTCCCCTTCCCCAGGTCTAAGAGAGTACCCAGGTGCCAACGAGAATAGAGAGTATGATCAGTCTATCCCCCGTGGCCAGCTGGGTGTTGGCCATCAGCGGTAGCAGCAGGAGCAGCAGGTGGTGACCGGGTTGGGTCCTAGTGAAGCCAAGCTGGGCTGGGGCGGTGGTTAGTGAGGCGGGTTAGCATGGAGGAGCGGGCCAGGCCTGCAACACACAAGGTCAGGGCACTATGGTTAGCCAGGGCACAAGAGCAGGGAGCCAGGGTTAGCAATCACAAAACACCAGGTCACTAACATTAGCTTGCATACAAGGTCAGGTCACTAACATTAGCTTCCATACAAGGTCAGGTCACTACTTCTAGCCAAACCTAAGCTATATATGAGAACCAATAATACCATTACCATCCCTAGGGGGCCCTGCTCTATATCTCATA